TAATAATAAAAAAACAAAGCAGGCCAAAAGGTTTCTCATTACTGAATTTGAGATTTTTGCTAAGTTCGTCTCTCGCTTTTTAACATGACTTTAAAATTGTCATTCCCTAGGGAAGAAGCTAGGAAGTGCTTGTGCTGTGTATCATTACAGTGGGATTCTGCATTTCAAAAATACCCAAATAGGCATGTATAGCATGCCTAAACTGCATAAACATTTATTTAAGATGGAATTCAGTTTAGCTACTCTAAGAAGTTTGAATTTTATATAATCCTTAAAAAATATGGTTTGATTTGCAGACAGGACTGTTCTCTTAAAGGAGTCTTTTATTTTCGTTTTGGATGGTGAGAAAGGTTTTTTAAAAACATGGACCTTTACACCTGGTGTTGGAAACAAAAGTATCTTTGAAGATGTGGTGATACTGATTTAGTACACTAGGGCTCTTCATTTTATCATCTTGCTTAGATATCAGTCAGACAAGGCTTTAGACTGGATCTTGCGTTTGGTTGCGTTTTTGAAGCTTCTGTCTTGCTGTAAAGATGAGTATAGAAAACTGTAGTTAATATTCTACATTCCTGAAGTTTTAGTGCATGATTTTGTCAGAAATACAATAAACATGAAAACAAGTTTCCTTTTCCTAGAACTGCCTTTCAGCAAAATTAGCTTTTGCTGCAAAACCTGCAGATAATACTCTGTAAAGTTCTGCCACATGTACAAATCATTCATCAGTGCGCACTTGCATGACTGATGCTGATGGAATGCAGATAGGCTACTTAGCAGAGTTTACAAGCTACAGAATAGGTTATTCATCTTTACTGGTTTCAAAAAATTCTGTCTCAAGCAGCTTGACAAATATTTTCCTGAACTTCCAAGAATTGCTAATAACTATGCTTAAATGAGTAACATAATTCATAATTTCATAAACACTGTGTGTGATGGAAGCCTTGGTCTTGAGATAGCATGAGCTCATCGGAAGTAAGTTTGGTTGCTTCACTGCTGGTTTTTTAATCTGCTTTTAACATTAATATTAAACATTGATAAATATTTAAGAATTTGAAACAGGAAAATTGCCTGAGAGGATGGATGCCAACAGGACTCCAAGTGTTATATTTATTAAATGCATTTATAGAACAAAACTTGGAAGTTTTATGTAGCATAAAATTTGGTGAATCCAGATCTTCAAATTACTGTTGAAGTTACTGGCACTCGTATTAGTAAATAGAAGCAACAGTGAGTAATGTTTTAGATATATTAGGTCAATATAAGTTTCATGGTAGTGTTCATTACCTGTGGTAATCACCAAGGCAGATTTCAGAACTGGGATGGTGCTTTTGTTTTGGTTAAACAAATCAAACACATTTTTAAAAAAACCCAAATCAAAAATCTGATGTCGTACATCTAATATCTCTTCAGCTCTGAATCAGACCCCATCACTACCCCAGATAAAAGAAATCTGAGTTGTCATCCTTCTTTTCCTGCTGGAGAGACATAAACCAATTCAGGGTGCAGGAGAGACTGATGTGGGTCTCTGACTTGTCATCCTCTGCAACTCGTTTGTCCTGCTTGCCTCAGCGGAGGCTATCAACCCTTCAGGAGCACTGCAGTGTTAGGGTTGATGTATATATTAGCACAGCTCCAGAAAAGTCGAGTCCAAGACTTGATAAGTCATGTAAAAAAACTGGTTTTGGCTTGCGTTTATCGGAAGGGAATTTCCCATTCATAATGGGAGAGTGTTTTGCTTGTCAGCATGGAGGCACGTTCGGTGCCTTTGGGCACAGTGCTTTTGAGGGGATTGAAGATGGGCTCCTCTTCTACCTGCTGGAGACAGCCCTCTTCAAGGAGACTGCAAACAGGCTGACCTTTTAACAGTATTCCTTCCTTGTCTTAGTGGGAATGTCAGCCAGGAAAAACTGGTTTGATGCCTCCTGGATGTCAGTGTTATCAGTTTAATAGCTAAAAGAGGCCGTCTTGATCAGCCACGTCATATTTTTAACTGCCTTACTCAGCTGTTGCAGAAGAGAAAGCCCTTTAAGTAGGACACCAAATCCTACTGGGGAGCTGCTGCACAGCCATGCCAGCAGCCACAGGGGTACAGTTGGCTGGGTGGGGGTCCCACTGCTTGTGTGCCTTTCAGAGTGAGCAGGCTGCTTTCCTGATGCATTGCTTCCCCGCTTAAAAATAAAATTTCATCCTTTTTGTCAACTTTCTTGTTGAAAACCTTTGTATTTTACATCTCATAGACTTTGGGTTAATTTTAGTAAAATTTCTCCTTTGCTTTTAGATTTTGTTTGTAGTAACGCAGCACAAAAATTATGATTAGGTCATTAATCAGAAAAAACCCGGCGCTCATCTGCAGGTGATCAGATGACATCAGAGGCCTGGTTTTAATTTGTGGGTAGTTCTGATTGTAACTAAAAGAGACTCGCTCCTTTTGTGGAATTGGCTGGCTATTTCCCCACATCTGGAGTTAATGAAGTCTTTGAGACCACATCAGTTGTGTTTCGCCGCAAGAACCCTTTGATCTGAAAAATCTAGACTGGCACAAGTGCAGCTTCATAACATTGCAGCTATGTTTTTGCAAGCTATAGTTAAGATACCAAAACAAGCAGAAACTATATGAAGTTATGTGTCTGTGCTAAGACTTTCATGTAGCTGTTTGGAAGGGCCTCTTTTACGTTTATATAATTCATAACATTTTTATTATGTTAATGGCTTGTACATACATATTTGTAAATTATACATTAGTTGGAGTTCTTAATTCCCCTTTTGAGATAGCATTTAATCAGTTTTTATAAATCACCCAATTATGTAAAATGCTAAAATTTCAGTCTGAAGCTTATATTTACAAATCTCATAGATAACGTTGCAGTTTAAAAGAAGTAGAATTCGTCACTGTAGGTGACTTCGCATTAATCAGTGTACATCTCCATGGCAGTGCTAAATGTCATAAAGCTTTGTTTCCACTGCTGTCCTGTGACAGTGATAGATTATCCATCAGCTATAGCATATGCTGTGTTATTCTGCACAACAGAGAACTTGTAAATTAAGCCCAGTTTTACCTAATATGTTTGCAGTCTTATGAGTGCGAGTATTTACAATTTGACAGAGTGACATTTCTGTTAAAATATGTCCCAGGCATGGAATATACATGCATTCATCATATAGAGTAAATACATATGTACTGTGAACATTGCTCAGGATGTATTGTCATTCTGTCACTCAGGTCTGGTAAGCATCTCTATTTTACGTCTATTTCATAAACTGAAAAATTTCGAGTAAAATATTGAGCAGCTTTCCGAAAAGCTTCCTTTCAGAAAAAAAAATTCATTTGTTTTCAATAAAAACCAAAGGTAAACAAGCATGTAACTTAAAGTTGTGAGTTTTGCACTTGACTCCTCCTAACCAGGTGTCTGTTTACCTGCTGCCCTTTCCATTACAGGGCTCATCCCGACAGCTGTGCCCTGTGCCCGTGCCCTGTGCCCTTGTCCCGGTTCCACCACTGTGGAATTGCCGCGATTTTGCTGCGATGGTGTTGCTGTGGAGCGAGGCCGAGAGCGCAGTGCCCGGGTGCGGGTGATGTCAGAGGCGCTGGCTCGGGCACATCCCGGCCATTTGTTCCCACAACAGCAGGGCTGCAAAAGCCTTCGGCAGCGGGAGGAGGGGGATTGGGATGCAAATGGAGCGGGACTTGCCCACTTCACTATCCTCAATGTCCCTATGAGAACAGTCAGCCTCTGGGAGGACAATGGTTCTTTTTTAGGGGAACTTAGGCTTTTTTGTTGGTTGGCTTGGTTTTCCTGGCCCTTCTCTTGCTTGGTAAACAACATCTCAGAAAGAGCAGGGAGAGTTGTGAATGCCGTAGAAACATATGTGTGTCTGTACGTGCATAGGAGGGGATCAAAATAATCACTTTTGAATGTTAGGGCACAGTGCTCTTTTTAACTTGCATTATATAAGCTTTGAAGTTGTGAAATTATTCATCATATAGGTTTCTATTAAATCATCTGTATTTAACAAATAAGATAAACAGTTAAAAATACCACATTTTTTACTTCATAGCAAAAAGATGCTCCGGTTTTGATGTTAGATTTTTTTATATTTTTTGCTGTTCTATATGTTGGTTTGCTTTTTATTTAATTTATCTTCTAACACACACTAATCATTGCAATATTCAACATAGAACAACTAATTATGGGTAAAATCCTCGACTGTGTGAATACTGGGCCTTGTTCATTTTACTGAACTTATTCCTGAATACACTTTATATTTCTTCTTGGAGTTGCTGCAGTGAAGGACTTTGAGCCATTATGTTTATTTGGCATCTTATGTTTTTAACTTGAAAAGAATATTTGTTGCTCCCAAGTTGAGAACGGGCATTCCACTGGTGTGTTAACACTAAGAAAACAATAGTATTGCTTTTCTTTAATGCTAGGCCAGTGTGAAAATTACAAGCTTGCTGTTGCAGTTTTAAGATTATTCCTGAGGACATGCATGCGTGTATTTCTGATGGCTCTCCAAAGGCGTGCGAGTTTCTGAATGGATGATAAAACGGCTGCATTAAAACCTTCCCATTTGTCACTAGATGTTCTTTTCTTTCTGATTGTTGGGATGCCAGCTAATTAAATATTCAAATAGGCATACAGTTGTTTTAAAATAAAATTTGTTTGGGGCCCAGTTGTTTTATCTTGCTTTTTTATCTTGAGCAACAAGTCTGTGCGAGTCATGTACTTAGAAAGCGAAATCAGCATTCAGGCTTTTATCAGGCCACCTGGCTGAGTTGGCACACCAGAAAGTGTGTTGTTAGGATCATTCTACTGTAGTTCCTCTGTACTGTGGCAACTTGCTAAAAAGCAAATAAAACAAGGGCAACAAATGCTGCGGCTTGCTACACTGTTCTTTTTTTATTTGTGCTTTCTCTCTCTATATCTGTATGCTGTTGTGGTTTTTTTTATGCACGACACCCAGTTATTGCTAACCTGCTTTTATTGCCCTCCAATATGTAGGTGTATGCACCATCCCCAAGTTCTGATGATTTCAACAGAGAATCTCCAAGTTACCCATCTCCTAAGCCACCGAGCAGTATGTTTGCTAGCACTTTCTTTATGCAAGGTGGGTAAAATGTCACTTGTCCTTCAGGCAGAAATCTGCAGTCACTGTTTTACTGGGTGAACAGAGAAGTGTAAAGAGAGCATATTGTGCTAGAGCCTATGGTTAAGTTTTATATACTTTTGAAACAGTTAGATGAAGGGAACTGTCTGTTGATGTAAAGTTTTTCTCATGACATTAACTGCTGACTGAAATTTAAAGGGATTACACACCAGGCCAGATGGACAGAATTCCCATCCTTTGATTTGTAGAGGCTTCAGAGCAGCACACTGGAGTGATAGAGAAAAATGAGGTGGGGGCTTATTGACTCTTCTGGAATTTGACTGTACAATATCAGCTAACAGTCTTATGTTCTCAAATGCTTGTATATCTAGCATGCCAGAAAAAAGGGAGTTGCACTGAACGAAACAAGAGCAGAATCCATTTCCTCAGCCTCACGTCACACAATTAGCTTGTGCTGCAGTCTGGTGAGGGTTTGGAGCACACTGAGCTCAGTGTCTCAGTACGGGAATTCACAGAGCACTTCAGTTTGTGCTGCAGAGGGGAAACTGCACTGACACACAGGCTGAGGCTTATGTAATGTAGTCATTTCAGCTACTTAAATCTGCTGTTTTGAAATGTTTTTATATTTTTGTGGTGCTACGGTATCTTAGACTATAAATTGCTTGTTTTAGGTAAATAGATGTTTTGCAGTGTATGTTTATAATGAGTTCTGTTTGGCCAAACTTCTTATCCCTCCACCTCCTTTTTTATTATTTCTTTCAGTCTGGACTTTTTATCAACACTCTTGATTTAAATCTGGCCTTACTGAAGGTCTGTGTAATTAGCAGAAGTGCGTGGTATTTTCTCAGCTGTGGTTGGATTGTATTTCAGCTATAAAGCCTGTGTTGTTTCTTTGGTTTTTTAAAAATAAATATAGCAACAGTGTGGTGGTATGAAAATAGAAGATGCAGTATAAACTGGTCACCATTTCCCCACTGATATTAGTCTCAGTAACTGAATTCTGTATTTGTTTAAAATAATCTTGTAAAGGAACAGAGAAATTAGTGTTCTTCAGTAAATGCATTTTTCTTGTTTTCTTTTCTACTGAAAAAATACTACAAAAAAAGATGGGACCCACAATTCTTCTGACCTCTGGAGTTCATCCAATGGCATGAGCCAGCCTGGCTATGGTGGGATGCTTGGAGGCTCCTCTTCCCACATGTCCCAGTCCGGCAGTTACGGCAGCCTGCACACACACGACCGTTTGGTAAGCCTCAGCACACATTCATCTCTTTGGAGTTGTGTATGGAGATCTGACTTAGGAGAATTAACTTCTCGTTTGCTGCTCATGTATGTCATTTAAAAACCCAGTTAGAAATCACAAACTTTGTGTATTATTAGATTTATGTCGTTTTAGTTATGTCTGTTGTATAAATAAAAATCTGTGGCTGTGTAGTGGTCTGTTCAGAGGTTGGATGAGTCCCTTTCTTCTGTAATAAAGAGCTAGGTGTTACATGTTTGGTATTTTAAAATATCAACATTTATTTAAGGACTACTTAATGTCTTACGTCTGCTTCTCTTCTCTCCAGAGCTATCCCCCGCATTCAGTCTCACCTACAGATATAAATGCCAGTCTTCCTCCAATGTCCAGCTTCCATCGTGGCAGTACCAGCAGTTCACCTTATGTAGCTGCCTCACACACTCCACCTGTCAATGGATCAGATAATATCCTGGGTAAAAAGTTCTTCCTGATTTTTTTTTTCATTTTACAAGAAAATGAAATTTAGAGCTGCATGACGCACAAAATTAGCAAGATTTAATTTATGGCATGCTTGTAGATCAGGAAAAATTCACCACTGTGATATTTCTGTCCTCAATATGGCTGAGATAAGGCAAATTGTTTTTCAGTCAGCTTAAGACTTCGCCATTTATTTGCTTTCACAGTCAAGCCTGTGCTCAGGGACTGGATGTGTGTGACTTAAAGGCCACTGTCCCTCCGTAGTTCAGTACATGTGTGTGTCTGTGTAGGCAGTTCTGGCACTGAAGTTTTCAGAGCTGCTGTGTCACCAAAGCACTGCTCTGGAGAAAGGCAGGAAGGCTGATAAAGTGCATCGTAAATTCCTCTCTTAACAGTTTCAGAGATTACAGAGTAGCCAGTATGGTGGCTGGTTTAGTCTCCTCTGTGCTCACCTAGGAAGCAAGAACTGCAGGATGGTCTTCTGTTCCTTGCACATATTTGCTCGACTTGAGATACAGCTGTAGAAGTTAAATGCCTGTAGATGCTCCTTGTTGGTTTGATAGGATTTGCACTTAGCTTCATTTTAAGGAAGTGGAATTTAAAAGTTAGGGTAACTATGTTAGCTTTGATCTGGGAACATGTTTTACACCAAGATCTTTAAACAGAACCCGGTTAGTGAATCTGCATGGGAAATTCAGACTGGAAAATCCAAGTTTGTCACAAATTTGGAAAGAGTGAACACTGCATTATTTAGATTTCTGATGTGAATGACTTACATTCACATTCAATACATTTTTTGGCTTTAGAAGTTGATAATTGGAGAAAGAAGATATGCTTTTGAAGGGTCTGTCTTCTACAGCAAAGCAGATATTTCTGAGGATTCAGTTCCTCTCTGTGTTTCCAATTGGCAGGGCTTCAGACTTCCTCTTGGCTTAATGGTGTGTGGAGCAAAAGGGCACGCAAAGCTGCTGACATGCAACTGAGAGCAGGGGTGACAGAAAGCTCCGTGCATCAGAGCTTTTCAGGGACTTTTTCAACTAAAGATGAGAGTACAACACAGAGAATTAGAGCAGGGGGAGCAAGGAGACACACAAGGAGCTATCCTGTGAATTTGGTTTTAAGAATTAATTAAATGTGCAGCACTTCAGTGATAGCAGTTTAGAAATAAGCTGCAATAATGTAATTTCCTGATTATGATTTTCTTTTTCATATTTCATTAAAATTAGACTATGATCCTAGAAAATAATTTGTCTTTTTCTAGCTACTTTCACTTGTTGGCCCTTAAGTTATCATGGTGATACTATGTTTGACTTTTAAGAGGAGAACATCTAAATGTAAATCTAATTGTTTTAATTAAATTTTTAAGTCTAATGATAACTGATTCTATTGACACTGACTTCCTCAGAAAATCCATTTAAAAAGTGGTTGCTCAACTCTATGTGATGAATAAAATAATAAAAGTAAATAAAATTTCAGCTTTAAAAATAAGTGTTGGCTTTACTTTCCACATTACAGGAAACAGAGGAAATGGTGCTGGAAGCTCACAGACAGGTGATGCACTTGGAAAGGCATTGGCATCTGTAAGTAGCAGTTAGAATATTCAGGTCTGAAACACATATTTTAATCCCTTATTTATATGTCATTCATTTGATAATATCAAATTAGGAATTTCCAGATATGAAGTCAAAACAATGTACAATTTCTTATACTAGAAAAATGTCCTTTTTAAATGCAAGTGAAAATGCTTTTATTTGAAGAAGACTCATTCTGAATTCCTTTTTCTTCAGGTGATCAAAAGATTTAAGGCAGATCTGGTTTAAAAAGCTGGTTAGACAAAGTGAAAGATAATCACAAAAAGTTAATTTTAATTTTTTTTCTGTAAGATTTTAAGTAAAGTCAAATATTTTTAACATGAGTCTTAGAGCAGATCCTGCCTCTAGGTTTAAAATGTTTTCTCAGTGGTCTTACAAAACTGAGAGGTTTTGAGTGCTGTATTGTATAGCTATAATCTATGGAACAGCCTTTAGAATGTTGTATATGCATAAATTTAAACTTTAAACTCCTGTTGGAATAATGTAAAACATGGCAAATATCTTCGATCTACTGTAAGTTCTGTTTCCATATGCATGCATACAGTAATTATTTTTTCATTAGTACAATCAGATGTACTTTTTATAAAAGTGTAATTGATACACAGCAGCAGAAATTTCAGAATTGGGAATGGTGGCTGGGGAAACTCTTTGTATTTCTTGTATGGAGCAAACTTTGCAGCCCTAAATGACCATCCGTGTGTTGGGTTCTGCATCCCTCACCTCATACCAGTGAATGCAAATGTCTATGTTCATGCAGATCCTGTTACCCTTGCATCCCTCAAAGGGTCATATGTTAAAAGATTACCAGATCTGATAATGTCTGTAATGTCCATATTGGGAAGGAGAACTCTGACCTACTGGCTTTGAGGAGAAAAATGGCCCTGTTGCTTTCGGGGATTCAGCAAGTAGATAACAATTTGGGAGTCCAGAGGGCAGTTAACGCTCTCTTTTGGTCTGTTTGAGACCTGTCAGAAAAGAAGGGGGATGGCTTTGCCTCCTGGAAATGGCAGTGCTCACATACTCCAGGCTGTTCACTGCTCTGCAGATGTATTTGGGTGTCTGCAGTTCTGCAGCCGGAACAAGATTTCGTTGTTAAGTCTGACACGCTGGCCAGTTAGACCTGCGGGACTTAGTGACATTTTCCACTGCTCTCCTTTTCTAAATGATTTTCTCATCCTTTCAGGTATTTTTGTCCAAGTCACTAGCTGAGAAAGCCAGGCTGATGTTTTGAGGAAAAACTAAATATATTGCGAGTGGAAGTCAGGGCAGAAATGTTTAATCTAACTGGTGGGTGGGCTCTGGTTGTCATAGAAACTTGTTTCTGTCATCCCGTGTTGTTGCTTGGCAGGAGCAGCCAGGTCATTCCATAAATCATTTCTGTCATAGCTGATGGTGATGCATTCCATCTGCTCTATCAGTGCATGCCATAGTCTGCACACTTCAAATCCCTCGCCTCATCCATCTGCTTCCCCCGCACCCCGCACCACGCGCACCCAGCACACTCCCCGCGCTCCTCAGCGCGAGCGAGCGCTGCGCCTGGGCGAGAGGGAGCTGGGCTCTCCTGCAGGTGAAGCTGACACACATGAATTTTGACAGCTAGGAAATCAAGAGTATTTTTCTGTTTGAACAAAGTTTTATTCAAATACTGCGATTGTCGTGCCTTTTTTTCCCCCCCTAAGATGCCACTGTATTCCTTTCTGTTTTGGCTTTAAATGCTGCTGCTGCAACTGTTGAGAGGAATTTCTAGTTCTAAAATTCTGTTGATGTACATCTCACAATAGGCCTTTCATGTGTGAAACATCAGAGGATACGACATTTGTTCTTCAGTTTAGGTATTAAAGACCATACAGAATAGTATGTGATTAAACATGTAAGGCCAGATAATACATTTGCAAAGGTTCTTTTATTTTAGGTTTAAGCCTGGATAATTGTGGTCTTAATCTCAGGGTAGGCAAGAAAGAGAATTGTACATGAAAGTATTTACACAAAGTTCCCAAAGCCCTGTGGATTATGCATTAGTTTGGATAATGAACTAGTATAGATAGAAAGAAAAGAAAATCTGGGTATTCGTGCCATTTCTAATGTGTTTCCCTGAACATTTGCCAAACAATAACCCTTTAAGATTGTGCCCATGGAGGGTTATATGGCAGGAGAAACATCTGGTTTATTTCATTGCCTAATGCCAAATCAAAACACTTGGTCTTTAATTTAGAGGAGATCAAACAGGAGGACTGTTTAACTTTGTTGATTATATCAGACCTCTTTGTGATAACTTATGTTTTGATTCCTACCTCAGCGCTAGGGTAAAGGCCTTTGTACCGTCTCGGTAGTTAAATAGCCACTGGTCCCTCCACAAAAGAAAAGAAAATGTAGGGAAGTTGACTTCTAAAAGTAATTCATGAATTAAGTTTCTTTGTTGCTTTAGACTCAATAACATTAACATAACAAAGCCTAACTGAAATGTACACTGTAGTGTTTAAAAAATTGGACTAACAGCTCCGAGGTTTGGCTCTGCAGGCTCTCAATTGTGCAGCTTTTGTCTAAGAGCCTTTTCATTAGACCCTGGCATATTGGCACCCCACTGATTGGAATGGACCATGACTGATAGGAGGAGGAGTCTCATTTGTTGCAGTAAAATGAGTCATGTTACCGTTTAAGCCTGGCAGAAGGTGTCAGGGTTGTTCATCATTGGTCATTTAACAGCACAGCAGCCAGGGACTGCATGCAGAATGAATCCTGACCTCGTATTTTAGTTGGGGCTTTGCTGTATTGTAGATTTTCCCTGTTATAAAATACAGCAAAATAAAATCGGCAGGTATGCCTGTGGAAAATGAGCAGTTTCAAAGAAAACTTTGTGGCCTTTATTTTAATTTTCTGTATCTTATCTGTCTGAAACTCTCTGCAGTTCTTTTACTGACACCCAGGATTTATTTTTATGCTGATGTACAATGCATGAATTTCCTCCGGTAGTATGAGGTAGTTTGTTCTAAATATATTTCCTTTCTAGCATGTATGAAAAGGAGGAAGCTTTTCCATTAGGGAACTGATGGTCTTTTCTAATGGAAAAGTACGATATACCAGGAAGGAGCATGTGGTCTATCAGGTCCTGGTTTTGTCAGTTCAGAAAATACAATATGGAACTTAATGAAGTTATTGTCAGCTAAATGCTGAAATGTCATATTGTCTGTGAGAAGAGACATCAACCACACTGCCAGTGAAGATTTTTTTAACTGCCATCTGATGACTAACAAATCCTGGTCTCTGCTCAAGTAAAACAGGTTTGAACCGTTGACCTATAAAAATATGTTCTGAAGTCCATAGTCAGCCTCTAAATCTATTCATTTCCCTTCATAAAATGAATTTTCCCAGTGTCTTGAGATTTTAATTTTTAATTAAAGCTTTAAGCATTATGTCTTCTTTTTCTACCAATAGTTTTTTATTTCATTATTAGCAAGAAAAGAATTGTTGTAAGTTGAAGTTTAGTATCTCAGGAGGCCAGTTGATACTAAAATAAGAGAGAAGCATGTTATGTGCTGCAATACAGTGCAAGAGGAACAAAATTTCAAGTGTTTTCTGTTCGGTAGGTACTAATAATAAAAGAGCCTGAATGCTTTCTTGGTATTTTGTTAAGGATTAATTTTTAGCAGATAACATGTGTTGACTGCTAAAAATCTCTCTCTAAAGTTTGGAAAGTCATTATTCATTGGCATTTTCCTGAAGTTTTGTTTGATATAATTAGCTGTGTACTGTGAACTCTTATGTGAATCGTTCCCCTGCAGAGACAAAAAGGCTGTAATTTCTGCTGGTCTTAAATGAGCAGGAAGGTCAGTTATACTTGTGTCACTATGAAATACAGACTGTGCTTATTTGGACAGCTGCTTGAAAATGAAAGTTCTTGAGTGTAATAAAGCAGAGCTGTGATTGAAGGATCAAATTGCATTTTTTATCAATCCAGAATCAAGAGTGACAATTAAAACATGAAAAAGAATCCTAATAGCTTTTTTTCCTGTATTATAACATATATTGATATATAATCTCTTTGTCTGTCATCAGATTTATTCTCCTGATCATACCAGCAGTAGTTTTCCATCGAATCCATCAACACCAGTTGGGTCACCATCGCCCCTTACAGGTACAGACTGGCCATTTGTCAATACCTTGTTTGTGGTTTCGAAAATGTCCTGTTGGGAATCATAATGAAATCAGCATTAACTTCCTTGCATAACTGCTTGTGCATTTTGGTTATTTTTTCATTGCACAAAAGAAGATTTATAAATCCAGGTTATTAGACATTTTGTTAGGGGCATTCACTTGAGTCCTGGCAACTTGCTTTGAAAATTACCTAATTAAAATAATGTTTGGAAGCATTAACTAACCATACATTTAAGGCCTATAAAGATATCTGTACAGATTTGCACTGTTTGAGAGGAAGAAGAGTGTGATTTGATTTGGGTTTTTTTAAAGCTATATGTTAAAGCTCTGCGGCAGCTTTCAGTGACAAACACAGCAGATGTGTGTTCCCTCTAATGAAAATATAGTAGGCTATGAGACTATCCAACTTGTACACAAGATAGCTTTTCATTCATATATTTCATGAATGTTTGCATTCTATGGGAGAAGAATTTCTGGCATTTTTTAAAATAAATGCTGTGTGTTGCAGCCACCTCTGTCACCTGTGCTTTGTGTGTTTGTAGTATGAATGTGGGAAGAAGCATTCCAGTGTGGAGATGAACTGTGGGCAGCTGCCTACAGCTATTAGTGGTAGTGCAGCTTTCACAGACACTGTGGCCTCAGCTGTCTAGTAAAAGTTGAACAGCTGTTCTCCATATAGAGAGGACTGTGAAAGCTCCATTGACTTAAATTTGTTGTTTAACAAAGAACTAGAATTACAAGTAAGATGATGTAACTTTAACCCTGTTCTTTCCTATAGTGCAATTTGTTAAATTATTTAACATTTATACAACAGTCTGTTTCCCTGTTCTCTGTTGTTTAATATATCCCTGCAGGCTTCTGGCCATTGGTCACTTTTTTGTAAATGATGTGCTTCTTATAAAACAATAAAATTACCTTTAGGTGAAAAGGGTACAGAATGAGCTTAGCTGAATGCTTTTGTCATCTAGAAGAATAAATTAGTAAAGGTATTGCCTGCAAAATGCAGTCATAATCATATGGCTGTGAATATGCATATCTCTGTATGCAGTGTCACTCAAAGCCTCCATCATTCATGCTTCACTCCTGTTTAATGGACACTGCTCTGCTTTTCTGTGGATGTAATGGATTAATGAATATCTGACATGGCTTACCTGAGCAGCTGCTTTGGGCATTTCTTTTCTATTACTGAATAATCCATGTTGAATTGAGTAATGATGGGATTAATGGGATTTTTGATTTAGTGATTACAGTTGACAAAAATGTTTTGTGTATTTTGTTGTACTGAAAGGGCAGATCAGACCAGAAAATTATTTTTATTTTCTTTTTAACATCAAAGCAAGTATTGAAAATGTTTTGTGGCTGGAAGAAAGAAGTTCTGACATTTCAAAGTATTTAAAATTTTAAAGATCCCAAAGAGGTTTTTTTCAAGAGTTGCCTAATGAGATGCTGCACCTCGTGTTGTAAGCATGAAAACACTAGCTGATTTCTGAGTTTAGAATACAAATTTGAGGTCACTAAAATTTGTGTTTTTCTTTTGCTGTTGTTGTCTTTGCCTGTTGCAACCTGTATGAGATGTACAAAATTGGCACTTTATGTTCCTTATTCTGGATTCTGTTGGTTAAGACAGTAGTAGACATAAGCAAATAATAGTGAAATCCTTTTCAGGCTCAAACTTAGCATCTGCTTCACATTTATACCCTCCCACCCCCTTTAATTTCAGTGATACAGAATTTATCAAGCCTTTGGTAAATTGCTCCAGTAGTTAATTACCTTCATTTATGAATCTGGACTTTTATCTTTATTCCCAGATGAGTCACTAAGAACACGGTGAAGCACAATGTGAAGTAATTACTACTGCATTTATTACTATTTATACTCCTGGTAGCCATTTTCTGTCTTGACCCAAAAAGTTATTGCAGATAAAACAAATGTTTTATGTGTACTGAAATAATATATTTTGGAGCATTTTAGCCTTCCTTGTCATTTTCCCCTTTTGCAGTTGGGTTTTTGTTTAGTTAGCATTCATGGTGTTACAGATTGCTTAAGTCATAATTTGCCCGTGCTTTAATTGTGAATTACGGTAGGAGTACTCTGTTTACCAGGGAAGGCACTGACAGATACCAACGTCATGAGACCTTGGGGTTCATAAGCTCATGACTGACTCTTTGGCTCTTATGCTGCTGAATGAGGATTAATGACGTTTTTTAATTCAGTTAAGTAAAAGCTTGGAGAACAACTTGATGAAAACCCCCAAGTATTATGAGACAATAGTGCGTGTCTCGCCTGCCCTGCCCTCATTTAATTTCTAATTTTACATAAACATGCCCAGAGCTGAGCATCTTGCATAGTTTTAATGATTGTGTACACGCATGTGAAGTTTATATAGGGATCTGAATGGTGGGAGCCTCGGTATTTTAAGAATCCTTCTGCAGGATCAGAGGCATTCAGGAGGTTTGGTGGGTTCTGAGGATGCAAAGCCAGCCCTCTGCAGCTCTGAGTGTGTTTGAAAGGGGAGCCAGAGGATTAGTGTTGGGGAGACTGGGGGTAAGAACAATACTGCAGTGATTGCTGTCGGTGACCCCTGTAAATCCTAACACTTGCCTGGCTTATTTGTTTTTTAATGCTGCTGTGTTGATGCTGCCCTAAAAGCTGCAGTTGTTAATTGCAGGGCTTGTGGTGCCAGGATGCTTTTTAACATAATTGGTGGATTTCATGCACAAACTTCTAGGAGGGGGAGTGGAATGAGGCAAGCAGGAAATCGGTGCCATCTGGCAACCTGCAGCCATGGAGGCAGAGTGCCACCGCTCGGGAAGAGCCCCGGCGGCGCGAGGTGTCACTGAAAGCTGCAGGTCACACTTGGGTTGGGCATTGCACAGGAGGAGTTGGATGTTCCCCCCCTTCCTTTCTTTTTGTCTCCTTCGTGAGATGCCCCACTCACAGTTTTGTTCTGGGCTTACACTATAGAAATAGGACCCTCTTCAGTTAAAGCCCCCAGACGTGTTGGAAGAGGTGCACAGGCTCTCAGTCTGTGTGCTGCTCACCTGGCCACCCTCCTGCTTAATCCTGAGCTGCTGCTGTGCTGCAGGGAGTGGTATCTGAGTTCTGATACCAGGAGTGCTCCTGACCACAGTCCTGGCTCTAAAAATGGATCTCTGAGCCGGGAAAAATTTGAACATTATGCCGAACCACAATGCTCCATAGTTTTTTCATTAATGGTTGTGCAAAAATAAATGGGACTCTGAGCATTATTCCCAAGTTCAGGAATGACAGCAATGCAGACGGAGACTACAGGTCCAGACCCAGAGTAGCTGTTGTGTGAAGTGAAAATCGGTAATTATAAACTTACTCACTGAATTCTTTGTATTTTAAAAGAGAATTCCAACACAATTATGGCAGCTCTGGACTTTCATGAAATAGGAGATTTTTATTATTTTTTAATTAGAAAGGAAATATTTGGGTATTTTAATAATTTTAATAGCTATGCAAGCTGTACTCTTTTTGTTAAATAAAACCTTGTCTTTAAAAGGTAACTACTTGCAGCTCTCTGAACAAAGGAACTGTAATGTTATTAAACCTTTTCCCAGTTTTCCAGACGCACAGCTCTGGCTGTTATTGAAAGAACAAGCCCACAGGCTCTTCCTTTAATGAGCTGCGTTGGATTGTATATCCATAATTTATTAATGTAATTGCTTTATTATTACATTTGTATGGCTGAAAGGAAGCTGTCTCTAATGGCCATAGAATTTCATGTAGTATCTTTATAAAAGATGCATTATTAGTTGGTGAGAAAAATGCATGTTGTACTACTTCAGGCTTTGTGTTAAAAGTACTGCTTTATTAGTTATTGCATTTCATGTCTAATTATTTTTTAAATTTACATGATAATTAGGTATATTTATGTCAAATTAGAATGGCTGTGTTTTTGAATTTGAAGTGTATAGGTAATATGAATTTAATTGTCAATTTGTTGCACAATCGATGATTTCTTCTGCTGTGATTTACCTTAAGTATATCTGAAATACCAAATGGGAATGACTTAGATGTCTTTTTACTCTTCTAAATTTGGAATGCGTTGTAATCTAAAATGGTATGGTACATAACTAGACTAGATAAAGCTTTTAGATCCAGTTTTAAAGTTTTGTGTTTAGTAGAGGGGTGTCATAAAAATGGTTCTCCGGTTATTCTTAACTTGGTGCCTATTTGATGACTTTAAATATTTTTGTTGTGTATTTTAACAATATAAAAAAATGCACCTTCATATACTGAACAGAATCTGAAGAAGAATTGAGCAGATCTTTTATGGTGACACAGGCAGAAGCAGGTATTTCAAATATGGGATGTGTGTGTGTACTTAGTTCACTTTTTAATGTTGAAGTACTTAGACGATGTCACCACTTTTGTCACTGACAGTGATCTAACCCTACAGATGCCAGAATATGAAAATTATCCCTCAATAAGGCAGAATGAAGGAATTTGTCCTCCTTTGTATACCCATATGTTAGCTTACCTTTATGCAGAATATGCTGGGTTTAATTATGTTGAGAAATACAGTCTCTGCTTCCCACTTCTGCTGTGTAAATCTGTGCACTAACCTAGACAATTTTGACAGGTGCCAGTCAGTGGTCGAGGAGTGGAGGACAAGCCCCCTCATCTCCCAGCTATGAAAACTCTCTACACTCCTTGGTAAGAATTGTTGAAAGCAACATAGTACTTTTTACTTAGGAGTTGAAGGCTTGGTTTTGTATAAATCCTGCATATCATTAAAGGAAACAGTAGGATAGCATTACAAATGAATTCTTTGCTAACAAATGGCCTGTTCAGTTGAACAATATAAGACGTGCAGGGTGTGTCTTTCACCATCTGTTCCTTGGGCATCAGGCTTCTGTGCTGAGGACAGCTGGTGCTAAAGCGCTGTTATGAGATTCTGGTACCTTTTCACAAATCCATAGCTAATTCTTATCTAAAGTTCAGTCTGGAGAAAGATAAAGACTTCATGCCTCCGCATTTACTTGTCCTTCCCCCTCTCTCCCTCAAATGGCTGTCTCTAGGGCTTGTTTGCATTACACTGTTATTAAAGTATTAATACATTTTATTTGTAATTATTATTTGTTGTTGGGAATGTTCATTTATTAATTAAACATTTTACAGAAAAACACACAGGCAGTAATCTACAGCATTGTAAATTCTCTTCTTTTGAGGATTCAGCAGAGGATTTCAGTTACTGACTTCCTTCTTACATTTCCGATACAATATTGGGAAGGAAACAGGGAAAATTTGAGGGAAGGTTTTGATTACTTGCTTAATATTTCTAGTTTCCACAGATGTAATTTCTATTTTTTTCTGTCTAACAAGAATAAATTAAAAGTTAAATCAGATTTCTTTTCTTCAATATTTTTGCAATTAAATATAATTGTTATGTACATCTTAGAATCCTAACATAACTGCAGTATTAAATATTAGCCTTTTCTTATCTTAATATAATCAGATCTCTGTTGCATTAACTTGACTAACAATTTATTGCTGACATGCACATCAGCTGTTTCCTCACCTCTTTTTTGAATTAATCTTAACCTGTGCTTTGCTTCCTGTTCTGTCTTGACTTTGCCAGAAAAATCGAGTTGAACAGCAACTTCACGAGCATTTGCAAGATGCAATGTCCTTCTTAAAGGATGTCTGTGAGGTACTATTTCACTTTAGATGGTGCCTTTTTGTGTTTCAATTAATGCTTCCTTCGGATTCCCCATTAAAAACTTAAATTAGTGTAGTGTATGACCCATCTTTTGACTCCAACATCCTGCTATTTCAGTTTCTAGAGCTGCAATGTCAGATTTGGTTTTTCTTTGGGTTTTTTTTATTCCTTTTAATACAAGAAAGTAATTAAAAGAAAGTAATTTTAAGACAGACTTCGACAGTAACACAAATAACTCACTTTTACTTCTGAAATACCTAATCTGTTTGAAGGTCCATTTTATAAAATGGTAACTTGAAATTTTGTCCAGTTTTTTTTTTTTTTTTGTAATGCAGATTCTCAAAAAAACACTGCCTCTCTTAATTGTTTCCAGCATGGTGAGGCTGATTTTATGATCATTCTTTCTTGTCCTGCATTAGCTTATTTTGTAGCAATTCCTTTTTTTTCTTTTCATTCAGTACAATAGCAGCTGAGTAACATTAACCTTATAATAAGCTTCACTTTCAAAGCTGCCACCTATTTGTGGAATGAATGCTATCTTGAACAAAATCTCCAGATAATATTTTCTTTTTCCTGTTTGTTTGTAGTGCTGGTAGGTGCTCTCAAAGTCTTTTGATACTATTTTGATACAACATTTCATCTTCTGTCTTTAATACCTCCGAGATAGGCTGTTGTGGTGAGAGAGCCTGGGGATTTGTTCAGTGATGGGTGTTCCTGTCCCTCTTGCATCCCGCAGCAGTCCCGGATGGAGGATCGCTTGGACAGGCTCGACGATGCCATCCACGTGCTGCGGAACCACGCCGTGGGGCCCTCCACCAGCCTGTCAGCTGCCCACGGAGACATCCATAGCTTGTTGGGACCATCCCACAACGGGCCAATTGGAAGCCTGAACTCCAACTATGGAGCATCCAGCCTTGTGACAGCCAGCAGACAAGCATCCATGGTAATGATGTTATAAAACACGAGTATGTTTGTGCAGAGCAGCTACAGCTCATGCGTTGAAACTATTGTAGAGCCTACTGAGGCAGAGCTGGGCTGTAAGACTAATATTTATCAGGAAGAAACCACTTGAGATTCTTGTGGAGGAAAAGATGGCAGACAGCTTGCACCTGCTATGGGTTTCCAATTAGAATGTTGGAGTGGGGGTGGGCAGAAATGAGGGGGAGGAAAAAGATGGGAAAACTTAGACTTTGGCCTGGTCAGTGGCCCATAAAATCCTGCTGTGACCATATGCAGAAAGCTGAAACTTTCTGCTGAGAGCGTTTCAGCTTATACATGCATTTTTTCCAGATGTGTAATAATTGGCAGAACCATTTTCTCCTTGAAATGGTGAATAGGGAGATTGAATGGGAAAAGCAGTCGAGAAGGACTGAATTTCAAGTGTTCTGGTCTGGAAAAGCTGTTTATTGTAAATTGGAACTAGTCTTCAATAGCAGATGCTGGCAGAGGACTGGGAGGAAGCTGTTGGAATGTGGAACCATAGTGTGCGCAGGCTCAAAATTTAAACTTTTTTTCTAAACGAAAAGGAGTTTGAGCACAGCTGTAGTGTAAGTAACAATGAAAAGGAAACTACTTTCAGATTAATCCCCAAGAAGGGTGAAATAATTCAATCCATCTCTTAGTTTCTTTAAAAATGTGAACTGTTCTGAAAAAATGTAGTTGAGCTTTTTATAGATCAGAAATATGCTAAAAGCATTACACAGTAAACAAATCTATTTGTAGCATTGCTCACTTCCCTTTTTCTTCCTTTTCATTCCCCCCTTCTCAAAAATGCTTAAAGGAAAAAGAGCTTTTAAAAACATGCTTGTTTTAGTGGTGCCATGTGTTTGCATGTTTACAGCGTAATTTTAAAGACCAGTTACATGCTGTGAAATTTTCTGTTATAAAACAGATTCACAGCTGGGTACTGTGTGATCAAGGCAAAATTTCACCTATCATCAAAATAATTAGGTACCCCAATTGCTGAAGGGTTTGTATTCTATAAAACAGAATTAGTTCCAGGCTCTCCCATTCGCACGTCACACATCCATTTATATTAATTTCAGGACCACTGCAGTAAACATCAAAAAGAACTGGTTGCTTTCTATAAGCTGCGTGTGTTTGGGGGCTTTGGGGAGGGGGTACTTTCCAAATGCACATCCAACTTCAGCTTTCTATACAAGTTCACAGTTACTTTTAGTAATGAAAGAAGTGGTGCATAACTACTTTCGAATTTTTTCTTGTACCTACAGAGATTTAATATTTAAAGAATGTTGTTAAAGTTCTACCATGTTGTAGGGTAGACTCAAATTTAGTCCTACAAATGAAAACTTTTTTCCCTCTGCTCATGATGTGGTGTAAAGCAAGTAACTGAAACTGCAGTGACAATTTTTTTTCTGTGACTTGAGGAACCTTCTGATATTGCTAAGCCAGACAGAGCAGTGCCAAAATTTACCTAAAAATCTCAGTTTCACTTTTAAATAAGCTATAATAAATATTTTATCAACTCAGTTTTTATTAAAATAGGGGCCAGTGGAAAACGACTCTCCAAAATGAAGAGAAGTTCCTTGATCTTCTCTAGTTTAATGTACTTGTGTAATTTAAATGTAATACAGATCTAATTTATCATCTAATTATTTGACTGACAGAAGCTTGTCCGTTAGAAATAAACTTAAATTAAGAAAACAACAAAAAAAAATTGCCTGTACATTTCATCCTCACTTGGTGAAACAAGCTTGCAGATCAGTTTTGGCTTGTAAAGTGAGTCAGCTAAAGAATGTCTTGGATTAACCTTAATTTTGTTACATCAGAATAATTGGCTCCAACAGAAGGCATCCAGTTGTGGTCTTGCCCAGTCCCCAAAGAGCGCCCTTTGACATCATTGGCAATTGCAGGAGCTCAGCGTGCCTCATGGAGTCCTGGGATAGGTGCAGAGCGGGGGCTGGCACATCTGGCTGTGCTGCACACTCAGTGCTTCATTAGTGATGACTGCACTTCAGTAGTGCCCCCCAAGCATCAGGGGTGATTCTTCTTCAATAACCAGTTCATTTCAAGCTCTTATTTACTATTAGGTTGGCATTCTTTTTAAATAGTAAGTAGGAGAGCCGAGGATTTGACACGCGACCTAGACTGTAAGATCCAGCCTTCATTCTGGATTTAAATACTGCTTTACTTGAGATGACATCCAGTAAATTTTAAGAAAATAATGAGTATTGGGCTAACATAGTGAGAAATGTCAACATTGATAACAGTGATTACCTATTTTTGAAGTTTTGTTTGACATAGGGTCAAGAAATGTTCATTGGAATTCAGCACTAAATGAAACTTCCTTGTTGAAGGAGGGTGGGATCTTTGCACAAAACATTTTTGCTCTTTAAAAAAAGTAGGAAAAAAAATAAATTTAATTTCCCTTGAAGATGATGATCTTGGCAGAAGGAGCTAGGAAATGAGTAATTTAACTCCTTTTTATGTAATTAGTGTAACCAGGCATGGTTTTATTTTAACATTTGCTTAATTTTTGAGCCAGATTTATTTTACAACTCTAGTTGACTTCATTTCCTGCTTGCTCTGAATGGTCTTGTTTTCTTTTTAGCTGGGCTGGCCATTAGACTTATCCAAATAGATTTTTAATATCTCAAACTCATCAAATATTTGCTAACTGGCCTTTGAAGTTGATTTGTATTTTATTTCATGTATTATTGAAAAGTTAAGAAGTAATACTTTTTGTTCTTATTCAAGCTGCTTTTTATTTGTCATTGTAATACAATGGAAAAAGAACAGCCTGAACTGATTAAAAATAAATAAATAAAGGCCTGGAAACTCAGTTAAGGATGAAACTCAATCTTTAAGTCAGGGGTTTTTTTCAGGTATAACAGGAATCTAAGAAAATTGGTGATCTCCCTCTGTGCCCTGTGCCTGCTCCAGCAGAAGCATGAAAGGCCAGTTCAGCAGCTTTGCCAACACCAACCTCTGCTCTTGCTCAAACCCTTCCAGAGTTGCTATTTCCCTGCAGAGATTATGCTCCCACTGAACAACTCTGAGCTGTCTGAAGTGTAAAATTCTTGATTACAAAGCTCTTTTCTTTGCCTTAATTACGCACACCTTGGCTGAAGTGGTTTTAATGACCATAGCCAAACTGACCAGCTAGTAGGGCTTGAAAACTTCAAAGACTCAGACCAACAGTGGTATTTTTGTTTTCCAGTTCTCAAAAGCTTTCCGTGCTAAGTGCTCAAAATGAATAACCAAACTAAAGTGTGAGATGCAGAACCAGTATTAACAGGACAGAGATGTCCTTTCCCCACGTGTCACTCTCGGTTCTCCTGCATGCATTTGTGTGTCGTCACTGCCCATGATTTGTCTAGTTTTTGTTTAGTTGCCTAAAATACTTAACTGGTTTTCTGGTTTCAGATCCCAAATGTTACCACTTAAATCAACCGAAATATGTTCTGCCCTCAGGTTTGGAGTTTTTTTTAATTTGCAAGTGTCAGTGAGGCTGCAGATAGTCCTGTGTACAATTCCTGAAATGCATAAAAATGAATACATTGACCTGGTAAATTACAACAACGTACAGTCTTGTAACAGGACTATTGTTTTTCTCAACCTGGGGTTACTGAGGGGTAAGATTTTTGTGATTGCACTGGATGCCAGACCTCTGTTGGGCTGGCCCTGTGTGGAGGAGCAGGCAAAGGGCAGTGATGGGAACGCGTTGCGGTGTGTGCTCTGGTCACTGCTCACAGCAGATCCGAGCGCGGTGCCTGCGCTGGTCGCTCCTCACCGCTGTGTTTCTCTCCCCACACTGTGTGTGTGCTCTGCCTGCCTGCGGTGTGGCAGAGCCCGGCCTTCCGTTTGTCTCCCATTTTGTGTGCCTGGGAATCTGTGAGCTTTGCTTGGGAGGAGAGACCGTGGAAACAAGGCTGGATTAGCGCGGCAGAGGGTGAATTAGCTGGAGTTAGTTTCTCTCGGGCTGAGCTGCCGCGAGCCCCGCGCTGCGGGGCAGCTGTATGGAAATGGGAGCGCCCGGCAGCCGCCGCAGCGCCGCGCTCCCCGCGCCGGGGCACCGCCGGCGGCTCGCTGCCCCCGGAGCTGGCCCTTGGCGCTAGGAAAGCGCCTGACTGCGAATCGCTCACAAATAATAGCGATAAAACACGTCGAGAGCTCGTTTGTTCCGAGCGCCGCCGAGCTAATGGCCCCGGACGCTTTTCAGAAGACTTAAAGGAAGCCCGAGGTTGTGCTCCATTGAAATGCAGATGGGCAGAGCCCTTTCTCTATGCAGTGCGAGCCCAGGGAAAGGAAAGCAAACCAAATTTTCCAACTCAGTGTTTAAGATACTTGAATCTTGGGTAGCTTGAAGTAGCCACCGCACAATTGTAACTGTAGCAAACAGAGCTTTTGGCCTCCACATGGGATGCGGTGACTTTCAGCAAGTCATGTTGTTTGGGGTTTTTTGTTTGCCAGATCGGATTTTCTGGTATATCATAGATCACAGATAAAAATCACTGTTATGGTCAGTTTGGTAACATTTTAGCTCTTAAGATTCTCTGTAAATCCTGTTAATCTAAATTGTGTGCTTTTAATTTGTAGATTTTGCTTTCAAAGGTTTGGAACATGGACTTGAATTCAGGTTTTATTTCTCATCTGTTCTCTGCCTTTATCAGAACTGATTTGCTAATCTCTTGCCTTCAGATTAGCTCTAGATTTGAAAGTTGCCAGGGTTCTGACAGCTGCTGTGTTTGTACACAGCTTTAAGAAATTTTTGCCTTTTTTAAGAAGTAGATTTTGGAACAAACCTGGCCCTGAAACAATTAATGGTCTGTAGCTTGAATAAAAGCACCCTCAAGTGTTAGGACTAAGCATGACCAGAAGAAAATAAAACACACAACCTGCAAGGCATAATTAGGAAAAGACTCAGTTTTGAGAAGCTGAGAGGGAGACTGAGCTTCATGTTGCAGTTGTAAAGAGTGTTGTCTCTTAGGCTGAAAGACCCGGGCCCAGCCCCTTCCTCCCAGCGAGTTCATGACTCTTGCAGGAGCTCGCAGGGCCGACTCTATCCAGAGTAGAACTTCTCACAAACAAAGCTATTACATGCAGAGGAAGATAAAATATACTTGAAATAGCAACAGATATTCCACAGTATACAAGAGGAGATTTTCTGCAGAACAATGGATACAAATAGCAGCCCGGAATGACCTGATATAGTTGTGGGTTGTTGGGGAGGGGGGGTTCCCCCTTTCTTTTTTTGTTCCTGTGCATTAGCTTACAGGAACAAGTGTATATTAAACAAAGGATAAACTTGCATAAGGGTATTTATCTCTCTCTGGGTAAAACCCATACTAAGACATGAAAGGTAAAAGCTGCATTAATTACTCAAGAGGGATTCAAAGCTCAGCAGTTTACTAGGATTGAAGGATTTATTGAAAAACAGTGGTTCTCATGTGTAACTCCAGGCAATAAACCTATTTAATTAAAGGCTTAATCTTCTAGTTGACATGTTTGCTACTGTTCCAATAAAAAGCTTCATCTGTAGCCAGTTTTTGTAACTATACAAATGATAGTAGAATCCCTCGTCTTTGTTCATTTTTAACTGTTTAATTGTACTATGTTGGTTATGTTATAAATGTTTAAGAACTTTTGTGCCTTTAGAAATCAGAAGCTTTAAATGGAAATTGTTGAAATACAGGCAGTGTACCTTTACCCCTTTTTTCTCTACCAAATATTTTTTAATAGAAGTTGATGACAGTATTCTGTATTGAGGAGCAGTTTTTTAACAAGTTGCCTCTTCAGGTTAGGTATGCACACTCAAAGCTGTCTCACATAAGTATCATTAATTCAAGTTTATGCAAAATTAGAATTTTTCAAGACTCTTCATCTCAATGCTTGCTGCTCAGAAATTAAATCATGATGTATTATGAAGGAGTAGATGAAAAAATAGGTGGTAAGAATAGTTAGATACCTGACTCATTTTATTCCACATAGGGTTGGTCACTGCTTGAGACACGGCCCCGTCCAGTAAGGTCTAATCAAGTGTTTCAGTGTAACAGCATCTGTCAACTAAATCTTTCCTTTATTCAACAAGAGTTTTAATCTTGTTGAATAAAGGGTCTCTAACCCAGCAAATACTTTCAGTGTTTTAAACTTTTCTTTTTGGACTATTTCTTTGAATCACATCTTTAATAGAAATCTTTGCTTTGTCTTGCTTTAGGTTGGGACTCACCGGGAAGAAGGTGTCAGCCTCAACAGCAACCATTCAGTTCTTCCCAGTACAGTTTCTGCTCAGAGCACAGAACTAAATCATAAAACACAAGACAGCTACAGAGGTAACTTCCCAGGCTTAAATGCTGGACAGGGTCTGCAGTGGTTCAGAGCCAGTGAGGCCGTAGATCTTGGTAAAATGTCATCAGTGCAAGGGATAGGGGCATAGATAATGTTGAAAAATAAAAATTAATAACAAGTCTGATATAGCACCATTGTTAGGGACTCCTGCAACAATTTTGAGGGCATCCCTCAATTATCCCAGTATAATTTCAAGAGAAGGCTGCCTTAGAGCCATGTTCCTCCAGCTCAAGGGGCCATGATGCACTTGCAGAGCTGCAGCCATTTCCCAGTTTCCCATTTGCCAGGAGAGCTGTGGAGTGGGCTGAGACCAGAGTTCAGAACTGCCAAAGGAAGGAGGTCATTCCACACTCCTGTTTACAGTTCCTTCCATTTTTAGCTGAAGAAGTAAACTGCAGAAAAGAGAAGTCAGCTCCTTTATTGGCATGCTAGCACCATTTAGGGGGTGTTGCACATTCAGCCTAAACCAAGCCTTGATGTCAGTGCAGCTTTGCCCTTAAATTTGCAGCTGAGACATCAGGTGCAAATTTCCTTCTTCACTCAATGTCCTTTTGTCTTAAACAGTGTTTTCCTTAGACTGAGCTGTTACCAATCAAGCTGTTCTGTGAGCTGTGATTGCTTTATAACCCATGACACATGTCCAAGTACAGCAGTGTCACCAGGATTTCTTGTTTCTGTTAGTCCTTCCTGTTGTCCCGGCTCTGGCCCCTCACTGCCATTCTCTGCTGAGGTCCTGGGCAGTGTTTCAGTGCTGTGACACTCACTCTGCTCTCTGGTTGCTTGCAGCACTGTCGGGTGGCTTACAGAGCCAGTCTGTGGCTATAGGTCCAACAGAAATCAAGTCTGAACATAAGGAGAAGGATGAAAATATCCATGAACCTCCCTCATCAGACGACATGAAATCAGATGATGAGTCCTCCCAGAAGGATATCAAGGTCTCCTCCAGAGGCAGAACAAGGTGTGTTGCTGACATAATGTGGAGAATCTGTGCTTTGATAATGCTCAGTAGCACGTTGGCCTTACATTTGATAAAGTTATTGCAAGGCCCAACAGGCAGCTGAAAGGGAGAAAAAGTTTATACTATCTGCTTATATTGAAATACAAAGTAGAGGATTAGCTGGGAAAAATCTCACACTAGTGCCATGCCTGATGTCTGCCTGTGCATGCAAGCGGCAGAAGGTTGAGGGCCCTGCCCAGCACAGAGGATGGGACAATGTCAGAAATGACTGATACTTTGTACCTGGGCCTGGGCTGCCTGTCCAGATGTGAGTCTGTGGCAGTGGAGAGCTCCAGCTCCTCAGCTAACACTGGCTAAATATCCTCCTGAAACACTTTGTCCTTCCCAAGCCACAGACACAAAACTGGGTAAGTGCTTCAGGATCTGCCTGACAGGCCTGATATAACCATTGAAATTTGAGGTAACAGTAAACAATCAGAATTTTGCAACCACAGGTAGCATAATCTGTACTAAGGCATGCTCAATGGCATTTAGTGTGTTAGTTTTAGTAGAACAGAGGTTTTGCATGGTTTTAGACTAAATTGGATGAACCTATATTAAAAAAGGTGCAACTTGATATCATTTGAGGCAGTTCAAGAATTCGGAACATAGCTGTTTAGCTCTACAGTGAATAGAAGAAAAATAGTTCTAGAATTTGCCAGTGTGGTCTTTAACAAAAGTAAAACTTTTAAATAAGCGCATGAAATTGAAAATTCCTTGAATGTGTTTTTATATAAGCTGATGCATTAGAAAATAGCAAAAACTTTGTTGGAAGTTATTTACTCTTCATCTATTTGGAGTCAGCACCAGGATCACTTGTTTGAAATACCAGTGTTATTTCAATACCCTGTTACGTTTCCTTTCTCGCAGCAGTACTAACGAAGATGAGGATTTAAACCCAGAGCAGAAAATAGAAAGAGAGAAGGAGAGGAGAATGGCCAACAACGCCCGGGAGCGTTTGCGCGTGCGAGACATCAACGAGGCCTTCAAGGAGCTGGGCCGCATGTGCCAGCTGCACCTGAAGAGCGAGAAGCCGCAGACGAAGCTGCTGATCCTCCACCAGGCCGTGGCAGTGATCCTCAGCCTGGAGCAGCAAGTGAGAGGTCAGTGGTCTCGGGGCTGGGGCACGCCTGGGGCAGCTTTGTCCATGCAGCAGTGTCTTGAGACCCGCTCAGCCAAATGCACGAGCCACTGAAAGTGTGTTTGCTGTTCTGTAGTGATGCTGAAGTTCTTTAGAAAAAACAAAGCATCACTTTTTTTTTTTAAGGGGAACAAAGTATAAGGTTTATAATTTGACTTTTCTTTTTCCTGTTCAATTAGTCATCATTTAAGTTTTCAAGGTAAATTCTGTAATTAAACTATTGATACATCTTGCTTTAAATTGTAACAAGCACTTGTTTAGTACTAGAAAATATTTAGCAACAATTAGAGATCTGTTTTAGGATGAACTCCACATAATTGAAATATTAAAATGCAATGAATTTATTTGTGTTTTCATAAGATTTTGCATTAAACATGTACTGGGGAGGGAGGAAGCTTGTACTCTAATTGAATCAGAGCTGGGTTTGCATGAATCTTCTTTCTTTGATTCCTTCAAATTTTTCCAAGAAAGAAACAATAGGCTTGCTGGTAGGTGCAGAAGGAAAACTACTTTTTGCCATTCATTCTCATAAGGAGAGATGGTTCTAGGAATTAACATTTGGTTCTTCAACTCTTCTGTTCTTGTGAGTTGGTGAAGCCACAGTTGACTTTAAATCTCCATGTTTATTTTTGCCAAAGATAAGTTGAAGTTCTGGGGCACCTTGCCCTAACTTTTGGTCAGCCCTGAGTCAGACTGGATGGTGGCTGGGAGTCCCTTCCAACAGAAATAGTCTCGTTCTGTGGAGGTGGCACTTCCCAAATGAGTGTCCTCATGCTTTGCTGTTTGGGACTCATGGGCAGCCATCTTCCTCAGCGTGTCACTGATGGAAGTGTGTCAAGTGAAAAGTCTGAGATGTGCATATGTCAGTGGTTGTATTTGCTCAGTGCACTACATCTTTGAATCACTGATGTCAACAAGTGATAACAATGTTTTATTTTTGCATAACTCATTTTTACTTCCTTTTTCTCATTTGTTGCTTGCATTTTACACAGAAGATCCAAGCAAAAGTTAGAAGTTTATTGAAAGGGGCTAAATAACTACCTTAACACAAACTTATGTACTTCATGCAGTAAGGATGAGATGCTGTGTTTTCAGACACTTTTACTGATCCAGTTGTAAGTAAGGAAACACACAGTCTCCAGCCAGAGCTCTTCCAAGGCACAGAGCAACTGTTCTGCAGAGCAGCTGGGGCCTTTGTAAAACCCAGTTTAGCATCTCTGAGAGGTCTCAGGCACTGTTTTGGTCTGAAAATGGTTGTCGTGGTGTAGAAGATAAGGTTGAGCATTAGGAAGTCAGAGGGACGTTAATCAGGCATGGCTTTTGTGTTTAAAAAGCATCAAGTCTATCTCCCTGCTCTCACAGATTCTGTAATTCACAGGAAGCTCCATGTTAACAAATTCATTCTGCCTTGGTCAGAGGACTTCCAGCCCTGGTGTCTGTGGTAGAAAATTTTAGTGCTCAGAGCTCAATGGGCCCCTCTGCACAGGCAGTGTGAATGGAGCAGTTCCTTCCTCCCGTCCCCTGTGCTCCGCGCGGAGGGGCCCTGGCTCCCGTTTGCCTTCCCTCCCCTCTGCACCTGTTCCTCCATGAGTGACCGGAGCTGTGTGACACCCACAGGAGCTTGCACAGTGCTTTGTGTAATTGCATCAACAATTTCCTCTCTCTGCTGGTAAAGACGCTTCTCATTTTGTGATTGGTGCTATTCAAAATGAACCGTTTCAGATTTAAGCTCCCAGTGTAGGCCAGGGATTTTTATCTCCATTTCCTAAATCACTGTAAATTAACTTCCTTTCAAAGTTTCCACGCAATTAAATATTTAAAACTTCAAGGCAAGCCACATTTAGACAAAGAGAACTGTGATTAAGGAAAGTTAGCAGTTTTGGGTTTTTTCCGGTAGGCTCTTTAGGAGTGCTCATCCTTAAGGAAATGCAGTAGGAGGCTGCTGATAATGACTTTGGTGACAGCAGAACTATCAAGTCCATCCAAAATAGTCTCTGTCAGATGAGCTAAAATGCACAGGGGTCACTAAACTGCAGTTACTAGAGGGGTGCCTGTGCAGTGCAAGAAAAGGGCTTGTGCTGTCTGTTCAGTTTTGGCAGACTTCTTGCAGTTATAATTGTATCTGCTATCTCCAACTGCAAAACAGAATGTACTGACAGCTAGAAAATACCTTAAAATGTTGATTAAATTCCACAGTGGAATATATTACATGTTTTTTGTGTGTCTTTTGGACCCCTGTGATTGACATCTTCTGTATTTGATTCATGAAAAGCCATTTTGAAGAACAGAAACAGTTGACTTTTAGAAACTGTCATTATTTGGAAATGAGATCCAAATCTGCATCTATTGAAGCTAAGTGGGGAAGTGGAAACACACCGATGAGAATACCTTGATAGCTGGTCCACAGCTGGTTATTATAAAGTATTGGCTTTAATGTGAGAGGAAATAGGGTTGGGAAAAAAATAATGCTCCTGCCGTATGTGACTGTCATCACAGTCTTCTGATTGAACCAAGATGGGCACAAGGTGATTTCACAGATTGAGGCTGATGAGAACTATCCATTGAGGGTGTGCTGCCTCCCCTGCCCTAACAGCTGGCTAATACTGGGAAGGAAGAAGCAGCAACATTATTAAAACTGGTGTGATGTCAGCAAGGTTGGTAAGAATTCAGCCTACCAACAAAATGGATACATTCAATTTTATTGTATTGTAAATTATAGACAGTTCTCATTTAGCACTTAAGTGTCTTATGCTGATAAAGAAGGTGCTTTTTAAAAGTTTCTGAAGGTGTATGTAGGCTGCTGAAAGGGTTTGGGCTTGGCTTTTTGTCTCTTTGGTTGTTTTTAAATAGCAGTTTAGGAGCTGTCTGGCAGGACTTTCAGTGGTGATTGTCTGCAGCTTTGGACACCTGTGGGTGAGCAGGGAACACAGCAGCTGAAGAAGGAAGCTGCAGAGCTATTTTTACTCCAGGGTTCTTGTATCGATATTGCCCGTGGTGTCGGTGTATGGGATATTGAGAACTCTGATTCTTCTGTTACAGAACGAAACCTAAACCCTAAAGCAGCCTGCCTTAAGAGAAGGGAAGAAGAAAAAGTTTCTGCCGTATCGGCAGAGCCACCAACAGCACACCCAGGAAGCCACCCTGGCCTGAGTGAAACTACCAACCCTATGGGTCATATGTGAACACCAGCCAGGTACGTCACGCTGCCTCCTGTGCTTTCTGCTGGCCCAGGGGGGGACACCTGGATGTGGAGGGCTGAGTTCTGAGCTGCCAGCAGCACCGAACTTCTCTGTGCTTTCACGTCTCTCAGCAGAAGCAGAAGGCTGCAGATTTGTTTGGGTTTATAATAAAACCCCAAGAAATTGTCGTCAGTGTCTATTTTCTTGCCTTGTTGCCAATGGCTACGTCTCTTGGCTCAGGTGGCCTTCTTGGCATGACATCAGAGGAACAGTGAACAGCTTGCTAGATAAGCCAAGCTTATTAGAGATGAATTATACATCTTTAAATGGTCCAAATATCACATTAGTTGATTTAAAAATCCACGTATTGTTTCCCAGTGCTGATACAGTCTCAGGGACTCCTCACCCCAGAGAGATTTGCTCTCTGGCTCAAGGCCAGTCATTCTAACTCCTCTCATTTGCCCAACAGAGACTGGGAGCTGTCTTAAGTCACAGCCTGTATTCGTGAAGGTAGTTAAAATTTAAAAGTAATGTTTGCAGCTTTGCAGGGTAGCCCAGTATGTAACATCTCATTGAAACACACTTGTGGGGAGCCCTCCAGGAATATCAGTCTTTTGGGTTTATTCGTGTTGTTGGTTGGTATTCTGCATAGTTGGGAAACCTTGATTTGAAAAGGAAAAAAAATTTAGTATTCTGGTAGACCTGTTCCAAAAAGAATAAAAAACTGGGTTCAGTGACTTGTTTTAATCCAGAACTTTACTGAATTTTATGTTTTGGGAGGTTTCTTGTTGTGTCTATTCTAATTCTTAAAGCTTTGAATTCCTCTAATTTGTTTTATTTCCTACAAGAGCAATTGGCTACATTGGAATTGTCAGATAATTTTAAATTTACAGCCAACTTAGTCTGTTCTTGCCATATAAATATAAAGAACCACTTTCAAAAGTTTGGTGTCTTTGCTTTTTTTAATAGCAGTAACTTTGTGGTTGACTGAAGTGCAGCGTTGACAGAAAGGGCTGTACAGCAACATGGAAATTTACCTTCAGGAGGGAGTGAGCTTGGCACTGCTTGATTTGGAGAGCAAAGTCAGGCACCAACTGAAGGTCTGAGATGTGCAGATTATTCTTTCTGCCTTATCCAGAGGGGCCCAGCAGAAGGTTCTTTGTAGTAATCTCTTCCATATATCATGTGTAAGACAGACATCTCTGGAATGGCGGATTGCAGGGGCTCTCAATGTGATCTTCTTTTGCACCTAAATGACTGAAAATGCCACCAAATCCAGTTCAGATTAGGGCTCTAGTGTTGATACTAAGCTTTTTAATTATTCTTTTCCTAATAACCTCTTTCTTCTCCTAAATTTCCTTCTAGAATTCCAGAATTATTGGTAGGATACACAGAAGGTGACCTTTCTTCACAAGGACACAGACAACTAACATTATATGAAGACACAAACCTGACAGGAGAAAACACTTGAAGCAAGAAAACCCAAATGCAATCTTATGATCAAAGCTACTGGTCAACACCTGCATCAGGAGTGAAGATACAAGATCTTCAGACAGAATTTCAGCCCATGAGATACTCTGAACATATCATTCTGTTGCAAGCAGTGTGTCGCTTCTGCACAATCAGAGACTGTTGTGATCTCTCCACTCATTGTGGAAGTTGCCTTGTGCCTAAACTGAATTGACAAATGCATTGTAACTACAAATTTTATTTATTGTTATGGAACTGTAAAGGTCTACATATAAAGGGAAAAGTTAACATGTTAAAAGCTGATAAAATTTCAGCTGAATGCCAGCATTTACTAGAGCTGTTCACATTCAGAGAACAAAGCAGTGACAACCGTCGACCCGTAGCATTCCCAGCATACCTATTAGTGTCTTAAAAAAGGAAGGGAAAAGTCTTTTGTTGTCCTTTCCTCTCCTTTTGCCATATGACTAGTGTTTTCCATGCAATAGGAAACTATTCCTTGGTATAGCTTTTTTTATGTTATTTTTGATCTCTGGTAATCTGAACAGTTATGGTCACAGTTCCCCTTCCATACTGAGCTCTGTGCCTCAAGCCACTCAGAGGCCTCATGAAGGCTGCAGGCTGGAGCAATACTGTGACCATAACATTTCTTGGATTTAAAAAGTGATTTTTATTTTCCCTCAGACTTTCTTCAAACATTTTTTTTTTCTAATTATAAACAAAACCTTTTTAGGCTTCTAGGCTTCATAGTAAAGCTTGTAACGTGAAGTGTAAATTGGGTGGGGAGAATCTACTTTGTTAGAGTTGCTTTGTTTTCCGAGCAGTAAGTACTACATATAGTACATGTAAAGTGTTAGCTGTATGTAAGCACAAAATGCATTAAAATACAAAGGAGATTTTTTTCAGGCTGTAACTTTGGTGAATAGTAAAATCCTAAATTCACCGTGGCAGGTAGTGTGATGATATAACCACCAGCAGGGTGGGCTTATTATGTAATGGAATCTTAAGAGCAATGGTCACCAGTTTTTCCTTCCTGTACACGTTAACTATCATGTCATGTTGTATGGCTTGTCAGTGGAGAAGAAATAGTGTGAATCAAATGCAAATACCCCCGTCCCAAGCCATATTAGCATTAAACCTTTAAATGTTTCTCCACCAGAATAGTGTCCATAAGTATTCCTTTGTCACAGATGTGTTGAAATGGTTAAAATCCCTTTGAACTTCCATGGAAACTGTCTTCCACTGCAATGACCATGGGAGGAAATTTCCTAAGCCAAGGTTGTCTGAGCTATTGTTTATATAGTGCATCTTTCATCACTGGCAATTGGTTCACACACAAAACAGGAACAAAACTATAATTTTTATGAAGTCATTTAATTTGAAAGAACAAAAGATGGATTGATAAAATAAACTAATGAATTTAAGCTCATGTTCTGGATGGTTCCTAACAAAACAGTTTGTGGAATTAGTGGACTCATTTCTATTACTTTAATTTGCATATATCATCAAATAACACCTGATTATATCTGTGGCCTTGTTCTTCATTTCAGTGTTTATCAGCTAAACGGAATTTGTTGCTTATGACGTGTGAAAGTGATCACGTGCCACTGCCTGGCCTTTTTCCTTCTAAGCTTGTTGTCTTTTTGGCTATATTAGACTTTGCAGTATGCCCAGAAGCTTTCCTTCATAAAATAGAAAGAAAAAAACATTTGGCTTATTTTTCACTGTAGCTAGTCTTTTATACAATAATCTTGTAAGAAAATTTCTTGAATTCTAAATATTACTCTTTCTAGATTTTTGAAATCAAAAAAAGTTTTCAGTAAAAAGTTTCTTACTTTATTTTACTATATTAGGTAGTAAAAATGTAGGGTTATTTACCATAACCTGTTCATTAATATCAGAAATTTACAATAGCATTGTAAGACCATAGTAGGGTTCTAGCATACCGTGTAGTACCTATGGAGTATTGTAAGAGCTAATTGTCCGAGATGAATTGCTTCTCATCTTGTTCTCCAGTTTCCATTGTTGGTTTATTGCAGATTTGTACCCTGTGTCAAATTTCAAGGTATTGCTGATAAACCTTTCCAACCAGCAGCAAGAAGTTCAAAAAATTTCTGTCAATGTAACAGAAAACACTATGTATATAACATTTATGTAGCAATAAATGTGCCATCTTTTTTTAACATGGTAAATCAGTGAGTTTTTTAAATTTCTCTCTCCTCATAGGCAATGTGCTGCTTGAAAAACAGAGGCAGAACTCTTCTGCCTTTATCAGAACAAAGCCTGACACTTTCTCAAGGAGCAGAGCATGCTGCAGGCACAAGTGTTGTTGCTCCTGTGAAGCCAGGCCAGAAGTGCCCAGTGCCTGAGGAGCAGCAGTGCCTGAGCTGCATTTGCTGCTGCAGAGCAGGAAGGGCATTGCACAGGCAGACAGCAAACCTGGGGCTGCTGGTCCCACAGGCACAGCCTCGTGTACAGCTCCCTCCTGTCACAGGCTGCCTGGACCTGAGCCCTTTGTGCAGGGAACTTCAGTGCCAAGCTCCTGAACTGACTGATGCATCTGTGTAGGTTTTGTGGCACTTCAGGGGGGACAGTGCTTAGTCCAAGCCCAGGAAAGATGCAGCTCCTCTGTCTGTGTGCAGTGCTGGTGTCTGAGTGTGGGGTGTCAGCACAGCTGCTGTGCTGGGTGTCCTTGGTGACCTCGGAGCCCGGGGTGCAGCCAGGCACGAGCTGGTTACAGACAAAGCTGTGGCCAAACGGGGCTCAGCCCCAGCCGTGCCCGCTGCCTCTCGGAATGGCTTTAGCAGCAGCAGTGGGAGGGATGCCCAGAGCCTTCCCCAGCACACATTCCCAATCTGAACTTCACTCCAGTAACAATTCTAAATCCAGCCTTTGAACATCCATCAATGCTCCCCTTCCCTTTTCTGAATCAGACTTTCAGACTTACAAGTTTGTCACTTCTTTCAGAGAGCGTAAAAATGGCCATTGCCCATCTTTTTCTTTCTTTTACCACACACTGTCCTGTTTGCATGTACTTTCTGATCACAAGTCTTTCATCTTTTTTTTTTCCATGTTTCTTTTCCATTTGATTTGTGTGTGTGTGTAAGAGATGCATGTTGGGATACCTTTGTTAAATACAGTTCTTCTATAAATGAGCATTTGGAATATTGCAGAAAAGCTCTCCTGTAAATCTGAAGCATTGGGAGGTCTTAAAATGGACTTTACCTTTTTTCCCTTCAGCTACTGAGTAGTTGCTGCAAAAAAGATTCTGGATTCTTCATTAATTAAAATTTTCCCAAGAATTAAACATTTTTCCCCAACATCTGGAAACCATGGCAGACCAAAAGTAAAACGGAACCATGTGTAGAAGACAACCAAGGCAGTGGGTGGTAAACTTTGCTGTTTGTTTGTAACACCAATACCTTCTGCATCCCCCTCGCCTGTGGATACTAAAATGTCCTGTGAAAGGAAGAAACTTTGAAGCCTGGCAGCGTATCAAGAGCGGGGCTCCAGCAGGGATGGAGGAGCAGGCTGGCACCTTCCTGCCCCTGCACACAGGCTGTGCCTCCCTGCTCCCAGGGCTGCACGGAGGGCCCAGCTCCTGCCCTCCTGCTGCTCCCCTGCCCAGAGCAAGGGGGTGAAACTCTCCCAGGCTGGGGGAGAAGGTGCTGAGAGGAGGCTGCTGCAATCCTTCCTCCTCTTCCCCTCAGTCTGTGCTGCCACAGAGCAGATAAGTCAGGTGCCATTTGGGGGTTGTTTTGTTACTGTTTAACCTTCATTTGTTTTACTGAAGTTAATCCCTCTGTCAACCTGGGTGCCTTGGCAAAACAGGGAGAGTTTATTTCTTGGTGAAGATACAAATACACTGCTCAACTCCTACCACAGCCACGGCGTGTGCACGTTCAGTGCTTCAGCTGCTCGCTGCAGTCAGCTCAGGGTGTTTGTGTCTGTCAGAAACTGTCCAGACCAGGCTCTGAAAATGCAAATTGTCTGGGCTGTAAACAGAACCCCTTTCAATTCTCTCCTAATCCTGACTTCTAAAATATTTTGATGCAATTAATAATATCTGTTAAATAGAACCTGATTTAAAAAAAAAAAAAACAAACAAAATTATACCGGCTGAGATAAAAATATTTCTCAAAATAGTGACTAACGTATCCTGGAGGGCAGAAAGGAAAAATAAATACTTGTGATGGTCCAATACAATTTAAAAAATATTTATGACCTTGAATGTGTGTGTATCAATTATAAAAATAAATTCTCCAAACTTAAAGTTATGAACTCATCTGTAGAATGAAATATCTGAGGAGCTATGGCTCCATATTTTACCTCCCAGCACCAATAAAGCAGCAGAGATTATCAGAATCATTAGTTTATCACAGAAGTGGAATTTATCACCAGCCCTCGTTGTGTGTTTGCTGGGAAGACAACACACAGCCAATTGTTTGCTGCACAGCCAGATCAGGTGCTCCAGACTGCTCCCACATGGCTTTCTCTGCCTGCTGAAATAGCTGCTTTCCAGTCAGGTGAGTTCTTTAGGACATTTGTGGGCTTAATATTTCCTCATGAGCTTTATTTGCTCAGCCTAGAACCTGGATGTGCCACAATGAGAATCCACTTCTCAAGATGCTGAATGGCCACTCTGGAAGAGGAATCTCCGGTGTAAATATGAAATGACAAGGTAGGGGAATGTTTTGGATGATGTTTTGAATGTTCAGTTCACACCTGCAAAAGCCAAATAATCAGTATTTCCTTTTCAAGTGACAAAGTCTTGCAGATGCACCTCCCATCCTGTTTGTACAATACATAGCAGGAGAGAGCTCCCATCTGAACTCATCTTCTGTGTGCCACAAAGACACAAAATGCTAATGCATCTGATTATGAATAGAACAGTTAAAGTTCATTAATCCCTAACACTACCTGACTAATTAAGATAAATGCACACAATATTGGTTTTAAAGTCGATGGACTCTGCTTCCAGTTTACCCGTTTAAATGGGTAACATTTAATTAAATGTACATTTAATTTGTTTATGTGTCTAATTAATAGCTGAAAATGTAATTAAATATAAAGCTTTTAAAATGTTTATTCATTCCCTAGCACACTAGAATAGTAAATGTGAGCATCATAAAATGCAAGTACAGCAGAGGGTGAGAACACTGAAAATTTAAAGGAAAAAAAAGTAACAGCCTCCAGAATCTGAAGGTAGTAACCCAATATAAATTAGTGCCTGTCATTATCTGTAGCCAGCTGTTCATCATTATCCTGTTACATAGAAGTAGAACAAATGTGTCAATAAAGCACTCATTAAAAAGTGTTTTGGATATAAATGCAGATTCTGCATTTACAGGAGCATCAGGGAAAAGAGTGTGAATGACACCAAAATTGACACGTCAGGCTTTGCCGTCTGTTTTTCTGGTGTGGCTGTTCTTCCTGTCTGGGATAACTGATGAAAATTAACTGCACACAGGTCCATTCCCCTGTTTCTGTACCCTCAGCTCTCCAGCTGGAAGGCTCTGTAAGCTGAGCTGGTTGTGTGTCCTTCCACAGGCCTTCCTGAACCTCCTTCCCTGCCCCACCCCATCCCTGTTTCTGTTGCATGGGATGCAGTCTCCAGACTGTAAAGGAACAGAAGTTTAAAGCTTCTGTTCCTCCCAGGCCCAGGGCTGGGGCTGCCTCCATCAGCTCCAGCAGCAGCTGCCTCTGGACAGGGGGAAGAGCTGGAGCTGCTCTCCAGGCCCAGAGAGCTGGGCTGGCTCAGCCTGGAGAGGAGAAGGCTCTGGGGAGACCCCACAGCCCCTTCCAGGGCCCAAAGGGGCCACAGGAGAGCTGCAGAGGGTGCAGAGGGATTTTTGCAAGGACATGAGACAAAGGGTAATGGGTTTAAACTGACAGAGGGCAGGTTATGTTACATAGGAGGAGGAAATTCTTCCCTGTGAGGCTGGCTGAGCACTGGCACAGGCTGCCCAGGGAAGCTGTGGCTGCCCCATCCCTGGAAGTGCTCAAGGCCAGCCTGGATGAGACTGAGCCACCTGGTCTAGTGGAAGGTGTCCTTGTCCATAATAGGGGGCTTGGAAGTCAGTCCCTTCCAACCCAAACCACTCCATGATTCTATGATTGACAATAATCTGTTCATTGGGAAAAACTTCATAATCTATCCCACATTTGCTTTTAATTTATTTCATATTATTTAGTAATATTTTAAGCTCCATATGGAATAAGGAGGAAATCTGAAGGAATTTTCATCTGAGAGCTGAACTGCTACATTATAACCATACAACTTTTCTGCACATTTGCTAGAGTAATTTTTTCCTCCCTAGCCTATTAAAATTCCCTCTGTCCAAGGGCCTTGATCTCACAAACACATATGCACAGTTTATGCACAGGATAGCCCTTCTCATTTCAGTGGGCACACTTCTGTACCTCATACTGGGTTTGTATTATTTCTTCACAGGTCATGAGTCTGATGCTTGCAGATCTTTCTGGGTTTTCTACAGCACCCAAGGTAGGAATCTGTGCAGCAAAAGCTTCAATGCTTCTTTTCTGTTAGAGGCCTGAAGACAAAACCATCAATACAGCTTCTTTCTCTACTTCCCTGCAAGTGAGGCAAACCCAGTATTTCAGAGCAGGAGGCTGGGTGTGGAACATAGGTACATATTTTATCTGTGCCTTTATAAAGAGATTTGGAGACATCTATTTTGCAATAATTGAGAAGAAACTGGGTGGGTGGTGTAGAAGAGGGGAACTGTGAAGACCAAATGTTTAGCTGTATTCAACTGTAAACAGAGTGATAGTCAGTAAACAGTTCCTCTGAGGAGAGTAATTAATAGGCACATGTGAAGAGATGGAAAAGAAGATGTATCCTTCTTCAGCAGACATCAAAGGCAGGCTGGACAGTGAGGAATTGTGCATAGCCTGAGGAGGCCACACAGCTGTATGTACATTCAGCTAGGAAATGTAATGCAGTGTCATGAGCTAGGGAAAAGAGGAGAGAGGGATAAGACAGGCAGAGAAAAAGGAGCCCTGCAGTAACAAAGGAGGGAGCAACACGCTCTGTGGGCATGGGAGCAGGAGTGGAGAAGAACAGAGGTCTAAGCAGGTCAGCTCTTTCTGCAGAGGGGTCAAGTTGCAGAGAAGTTTTGCAGGATTAGAAAGAGTGATAAGACAGCACAGTAGGTAGTCTCAAAATAAG